TATTATACGAAAAATAGCAGTTCTGCGTTTAAAACGACAGCGTGCCGTTTGGGTCATATGACTAAAGTGTTCCCCTAAAGTACACCGAAATGTGCTATGCTTTTTGTACCCTAAATGGGTCATACTTGTAAAAGGATCGCATGTACTGAATGATTACACGTGATTTTTTGTATACCGTATACCTTAAATAGCACCCATACGAGTAAAACGTCAATATGTTGTTTTGACTCAAGGACTCTCGAATTCACTCCAAAGCTAGTTGAAACATTTTAAAAACACTGTATGTTGAAAAATTATAATATAGGTTTAAACCCTATACCCTAAACCCCAAACCCTAAACTACAACCATACATTTGAAACACTCAGCTGTCGTTTTGGGTAAGGAGGTATCGGTTTAACTCTGAAACTAGCGCAACGATGTTTGGGACATGATACACATCTGGTACACGTTGAACGACTACACGTGCTATGATTTTCATACCACACTTGCCCCTTAGGTTGTTCTTCATTGTCAAGTGAAGTGTAGTGTAGTTGGTTTCCACCGACCATAGAGAAACTCACTATAGTTTCGACAAATGTGTCGATCGTAACATCGAAATGTAATTCAAACCTTCGTCCTTCAATTTTCAAGTGCTTACGAGCTTCATTGCACCAAACGGACACGAAATGTGGAGAAACGTCGCCCATACATTTGAAACGCCTAGTTGCCGTTTTGGGTCAGGAGGTACCAATTTCACTCCAAAACTAACACAACGATGTTTGGGACACGATACACGTCCGGTACACGTTGAATGACTACATGGGCTATGATTAGCATACCACACTTGCCCCTTAGGTTGTTCTTCATTGTCAAGGGAAGTGTAGTGTAATCGGTGAGACTATAGAGAAACTAACTATAATTCGAAAAAATGTGTCGATCGTAAAGTCAAAATGTAATTCGAACCTTCGTCCTTCAATTTTCAAGTGGTTACGGGCTTCATTGCACCAAATGAACATGAAATGAGTAGAAACGTCGTCCATACATTTGAAACACCCAGCTGCCATTTTGGGTTAGAAAGTATCGGTTTCACTTCGAAACTAGCACAATGATGTTTGAGACATGATATACGTCCGGTACACGCTGAACAACTACACGTGCTATGATTTACATACCACACTTGCCCCTTATGTTGCTTTTAATTGTCAAGTGAAGTGTAGTGTAGTCGATGGGACTATAGAGAAACTCGCTATAGTTCAGACAAATGTGTCGATCGTAACGTTGAAATGTAATTTGAACCTTCGTCCTTCAATTTTCAGGTGATTACGGGTTTCATTGTACCAAATGGATACGAAATGAGTAGAAACGTTGCCCGTACGTTTGAAATGCCCAGTTGCTGTTTTAGGTCGGGAGGTACCGATTTCACTTCGAAACTAGCACAACAATGTTTGAGACATGATACACGTCCAATACACTTTGAACGACTACACATGCTATGATTTGTATACCACACTTGCTCCTTATGTTGTTCTTCATTGTCAAATGAAGTGTAGTGTAGTCGGTTCCAGCCGACCATAGAGAAACTCACTATAGTTTTGACAAATGTGTCGATCGTAACGTCGAAATATAATTCGAACCTTCGTCCTTCAATTTTCAAGTGGTTACGGGCTTCACTGTACCAAACGGGCACGAAATGAGTAGAAACGTCGTCCATGCGTTTGAAACGGCCAGCTACCGTTTTGGGTCAGGAGGTACCAATTTCATTCCGAAACTAGCGCAATGATGTTTGGGACATGATATACATTCGGTACACGTTGAACGACTACACGTGCTATGATTTGCATACAACACTTGTCCCTTAAATGGTTCTTTATTGTCAAGTGAAGTGTAGTTATATATATATATATATATATATATATATATA